GTAAACACCACCAAATTAAATAATCCAATTTAAAAATGAGTTACAGAGCTAAATAGAGAATTCTCCACAGATCAACATCATGACTGAGAAACATTTAAAGAAATGCTCAACTTCCTTAGTCATCAGGGAAATGAAAATCAAAAGGACTCTGAGATTCCATCTTACACCTTTCAGAACGGCTAAGATCAAAAACTCGAGTGACAGCACATTCTGGCAAGGTTGTGGAAAGGGGAGCACTCTATTGCTGGTGGAAGTACAAACTTGTACAACCACTTTGTAAATCAATCTGGCACTTTCTCAGAAAAATTGGGAACACCTCTACCTCCATACCTAGCATGTACTTTGAAATGTGTACTGGAGGCCAGCATGAGCTTTGATATGCTAATAACCACAACAGTTAGTCATGTATCCCTCTGTCAGAGGGAAGGAAATTTCCTCCTCTTGGTAGAAGGGAACCAGGAATGATGGCTTTTATCTAATGACCAGAAGTTCTCCTATAGTCCAGATTGAGTCCATTTCTGGAAATTAAGACTGCCTTTGGGAGTTTGGGGAATCAGTTTCCTTTGACCCTAACAATGCTAACTCTCAAGTTAGTGCTGAAACATTGGTAACATTTTGTTATAACTATTGATGCTACTAATTATATCTTATCAGGAATAATTAGAACATATCTTTACTGACGTGGATGGATGATGTCTGTGTTTGAGTTCTTCTTTACATAAGTGAAAGCAGATAATTTATTTTCTTTTAGCTTGGTGTTCATGTTTTGCTATGCACCCATTTGGTAGATTAGTAAGGAATGGGCATTTGTGAGTTTGTTCCTCATAACTAATTGTGGTTGATCTATTTAATGGTATGCCTAAATATTCTTGAAATTCAACTAATATATCATAGAGGCCTTTTTCTCCAATACTCACAGGAAAAATTAGAGTTACACTTTCTAATCTTTTGAGCATATCCTTTAAAGTGTAAAATTTTGTAGAGAGATCTTAATGTCTGTGAAACTTTGGTGAAAATATGACAGTACATATGTAAATACTCATTCCAGCTTAGAAGAACTAATCTAATGACAGTGTCTTATTGGCACTCAAGAAAAAGAATTCACATAAAATACATAAAATATTTCAATGAAATCATAGAAATTTTAACAAATTAGGGAAAAAAGAAGCCCATCTAGATGCCAAAAGCACATATAACACCAAGCAGATAGGACCAGAAAAGAAATTCTCTGTGATATAGTAATCAAAACAAAAATGTGCAAAACGAAGACAATATATTGAAAATTGTAAAATAGAAGGACCTACTTATATGTAAAGGCATATCTAAAGGCAGAATAAATGCTAACATTTCAAACTATGATGGCAAGAAGGGCTTGGGCTTGGATCTTTCAAATTCTGAAAGAGGACAACTCCCAGTTCAGTCTCACATTTTCTGTGAAACTTTCAGTCATATTTGACAGTGAAGGAAAAACTTCCCATGATAAAATCAGGCTAAAAATAAAATCATGACCCCTAAGTCATCCCTTCCAAGGATACTACTAGAAGGATTATTTTAGTTTGAAGAGAAAGATAAACAGAACTCAAGACATTATCTGAGCAAAGAAAGATAAGTTTCTTTGTTCAGAAGACACAGTTAACTCAGAAACACACAACTGGTCAACACGCACAAAATAAGTGTCTGTGGAGCTCTCAGACAAAAATGGGACACCTATATCACTCTTTATCTCCAAGGCTCAGGGACCATTGTGGAAGAGCATCTGGAAGGACTGAAGCAAAACAGTGTCTCCTGGACATGACTGGACTATTGAACTCCCGAGCTCATAGCTTTGTTGTTGTCTGAACAAGATCAAGCCAGTGAGCATTCTAACATGGAGTGGGGAAGGACTTAGGGATTTCAACCCCTAACTGAGGAGCTATCTACAGTTGATGGCTTCTGCAGAAAGGAGACTCCCTTTTCTTTAACGGTGTGGCCCCAGGTAGGTTGACCATGCTCTGTGGATAGTCCCACACTCATCACCTGTACAGGCAGCATAAATATGGCTTGATTAGTGATATGAAGCAAAGACATGGAGTTAAAGGGGGTGGGAAGTTGGAGTTAGAGCTAGGAGAAGTTAAGGAGAGGAATCAAGGGGTCAACACAATCAAAATGTATTGCATTCATGTGTGGATTTTAAAAATTGTATTAAAAACTATCTTCATTTTTATTCTTGAAGTTTAAACATAAACATTTGCAAATCGGCATGTGTGATTCAGGATATAGCTAGACTTAATAACAAGTGATCAACTCAATAAATAAAGATAAGACATTTGACAAAGCTTAATACCCTTTTGTGATAAAAGTCCAGAAGATAATAGGAGTAGAAGGAACACCCTACAACTTAACTGAAGGTTATATTTGACAAATCTATTAATAAATTAAAATAAGTAGAGAAGAGCATTTTCTATAAAATAAGAAATGAGTCAAAGGTTTTCAGTGTTTTTGCCCCTCTTTAATATATGGCTGACATCTTAGATAGAGCAATAGTCATAATAATTTTCTTTAAATGAGGAAAGAAGAAGCTGAATTATTTCTATTTGCCTCTGGCATGATCATACACTTAAAGGACCCTAAAGATTCTACCAGAGAAATCTAAGACCTGACAAACACTCAAAAAAAAAATAGCAGATCACAAAATCAATATCCAAAATTAGTATTTTTCCTATACACCTAAAATTGTGAACTTCTAGAGAGAGAAGAAAAAAAATCCTATTTATACGCTCTTTAAAATCACCAGTAATAAATCTCCCAAAGGAGGTGAAAGTATTCTACAATAAGTACGTTAAAAGACTGAATAGAGAAACTGAATAAGACATCCAAACATGGAAAGACTCCCATGTTCATGGGTTGGCAAAATAAGACCACAAAAACAGCAACATTAGTGAAAGCACTGTATAGATTCAATGCAGTTTCAACACAATTCCAATTATTCTTTTCACAGAACTAGAAAAAATTAAAATTCATATAGAAATGCCAAAGAACTTGAATATCTCAAATAATTTTTTGCTGAACAAGCAAAACATTGTACACAGTGAGAAATCTCAAATTATGCAACAGTGGCACAGTAACAAATGGACATGGTGCTAATCCCAAAACAGACTTGTGAAACAGAATAGAGGAAACAGAAGTAACTAGCTATAAACACATAGCTATAACCCTTAGAGAAATGGCCACCTCTTCAAGACGTTGCTCTGGGAATATAGATATCCGTGTAAAGAAGAATGAGCTTTCTTATTTCTCACACTGGACGAGAAACCATTCAAAATATTTCAGACTTTAATGTAAGACCTGAGACTTTGAAGCTGCTAGAGGAAAACAGGGGAAATACTTCCAAGATAAAGGCATAAGGGAAAGATCCCAGAAAAGAAATCCAATAACTCAGGAAATAATTGGGGAAATTTGACAAATGGGATCATATGGAATTTAAAAGATTCTGCACAGCAAAGGAGATAGTAGAATGGGGAAAACCTTTGCCAATAATGGCTCTGAGAGGGCCTAGTGTCTAGATAAAAGAGCTCGGAAAACTAAACACCTAAACTCCCAAACCATTTATTCCTAGGCCAAAGAGTTGAAGAGACTTCTGCCAGGAAGAAATACTAATGGCCAATAAGTATTTGAAAAGAAAGTTTGACATCTGGGCAGTACAAATAAACTTTCTGGTCACAAATCCCCAGTTAGAAGGCTAGCTGTAAGACAAAAGGCTTCCTGGACAGGATGCCAAAAGAGGAGCCTCTAGACACTGCTGTTACAGCCATGATGAAGAGCACCTGGGTGTTCACAGCAGAAAACCTAAGTCCTGAGATATTTGCCCGTCTGTTTGCTGCCTTCTACCCACAATAAGCCACCATATGGAACTGGTTTAGATGTCTATCAGCACGTGAGGAGCAAAGAAGATGTGGCATTGATACCCGAGGGAAGTTATTTAGTTGTAAAGATGAGAACTAATTCTTGCAGAAATGTGGTTGGACTAGGGATTATACTGAGCAAAATAAGCCAGATTAAAAAACACAAGTATCCAAATTTCCATCATAAACCAAATATGGATTTAAGTATATTATCTCAGGCCATAACTGTAGGGCATAAAAAAAGGAATGGGGACTATTTGGGAGAAAGAAGGGGAATGAGGAAGTGGGTGGAGGAGGGGCCAAGGAGAGCAGCAATCAGTAAATACATGGAATGTATATGAAGACGTCACAATGAAGCTCATTGTTTTGCAAGCAAACCATAACAAATAAATGTAAGAGCCAGGCTGGCAATGGCCCGATTGGTTGGGGTTCAGCGTCCATGGCTAGCCGCTGGGGTAGGGGCTTTGTCCAGCTCAGAGGAAGAGGAGGCACTCTCCGCATCCCTGCGGGGGTGGCAGAGACGTGGTGGCAGTGGAGGTGGCAGGATGGTCGCAGAGTCACACGCCTCCAGCGGGCCTGGCGGGCCATCTAGGGCATAGGCTGGCAGGGAGATTGTAGCTCCTCACTCATTTCAGCACTTCGGTGGAAGACACTGCACATTCATGGCGATTCCGAATTTGAAGACCAATTTCTGTCAGGCTCAGCATAGCAAGTCCCCCGACAAGTGACCTTGGGCTCTATGTGCCATATTCAACTGAGCCTTGAAGATTCTGGACACCGAGACTCTCCTCGGAAATAACTGCAGGTATATTTCCTTTAATGACTCTGGTAAAAATCAGCACCAAGTAAACCACTGTTCTCTCACTAGCGTCTAAATGTAGGCCCCGTGGGTAAGTTCGGTCTGTAGCTGGATGTTTTTTGAAGTCTGAAGGTTCCCATCTGCAGACACGGAGGCCCAGGCTGAATTCGAAAGGATTCTAAGTACTTCTGCCTATCTTAGAGAAGCTTCATATAGAGTAAAGAAGCCGAATAAAGAAAAGAGAGCGATAACAGACCTTTGGTTGAGCTTAATGTTTTCACTTCTCCATCACACACGCCAGCACATTCTCATTTGCCAGAATGAATCATGCAGCCCCGGTGGAGATCTGCTACGAAAACATGCGTTTTCTTATAACCCGCAATCCCAACAGTGCTACGATGCACAAGTTTACAGGGGAGCTTAAGACCCACGGAGTGAAAACCTTGGTCAGAGTTTGTGATGCCACGTATGATAAAGTGATAGTTGAACAACTTGGCATCCGCGTTCTTGACCTGCCCTACCACGACGGAGCCCCGCCCCCTGATGAGGTAGTGTATGAGTGGCTAGAGCTGCTAAAATCCAGATTCCAGGAGGAGCCGGGTTCCTGTGTGGCAGTGCACTGTGTGTCGGGGCTGGGAAGGGCACCTGTGCTGGTAGCGCTTGCTTTGATAGAAAGCGGAATGAAGAATGAAGACGCGGTTCATTTTATCCGACAGAAACGAAGGGGCGCGTTCAATACCAAACAGCTGCTTTTCTTGAAGAACTACGAGCCCAAGACGCCGGCCAGGACCAAGTCGCGCTTCAGGGAGTCCAAGGTGCATTGCTGCGTTCAGTAGGCTACAAGTGAAGGTTTTTCTCACTCTGCCACTGAGAGCGAACTCTTGGCACCTCGAATGCGCTTCCGGAATCTTTCCCGTGCCATCGACGAGTAGTGGATTCAACTAATTGGTGCAGAAGCAAACAGGGGAGAAATCCCTCTACAAAACGAATCAATTAAGACAAGGAAATTTTAATAGATGGGAAAAAGTAACACACCCGTCAGAGCAACAACAAAGAAAACCTGGACTCCGAGTCTCACTCCCGTAGGCTAAAAGCACTCTTGCGCACACTCCCACCATTTGCCATGTTGTGATACAACTAAGAAGGACTCACCAGAGGCTGGAAACTGTGAGGCCACCTAACCTTGAACTTTCATCCTCTTCAATTGTCATCAAAATAAATCTCTTGATAAATTAGCCAGCCTTGGGCATTTAAAAAATAATTTTGATATATATTTTTTACTAATTCACTTTGCATCCCTCATAGCCCCCTTCCTCATCTCCTGGTTCCACCTTCCCACCTTCTTCCCCCTTAGCCCTGTTCCCTAGTTCTCAGAAAGGGGAGCCCTCATCCTTTACCAACTGACCCCAGACTAGCTTCAGGACCACCTTCATCCTCTTCTGCTGTGGCCTGGGAAGGTGCCCTTCCCAGGGGGCAGTGATTGAAGATCAGGCAACAAAGTTCCAGTCAGAGATAGCCATTGCTCCCCTTACTACAGAACCCACATGGAGACTGAGAGGGCATTTGATTATAACCCCAAAAAGAAAAAGCCTGATACATTTGCCAACTTCTTGTATTTCAGCTGATTAGAAATATCCTCACTGCTAAGTACAATGCTTAAAGCATGTTAAATAATGATGTGTGTGTGTATGTGTGTGTGTGTTTAGTGAACAAATAAGTCATGACCTGCTATTTTGTGTGAGTATTGTTTTGCTGACCTGAAAAGCATACTTGCACATATTACCTTAAGAGAGCCACTGTTTGGTGTCTAAATATATTAAAACACTGATCATTGGCTGGAAAACATAAAAGGAAGCTTAGAGAAAGTTCACACAAGTTGTTAGAGGAAATTTGTGGTCTAAAGGAAAAGAGCAATTCAAGGTACAACCTGATCAAAAACAAAACACCGAGAGCCATGATATACTGAAGTCCGCATGGTTGTTAAGTTACATTTTCATTTCCTTATAGTTCAAGAATTATTTTAATACTTTATGGAAATTATGTTGCTTTGTCTCCACCTACAAGAATTCCTCAGTTATACCCACTCTTAAAGTGCCACTTTCTCCTAGATAGCAAAAAATACCTGCACAACCAGAATTGAGCACTCTCAGTTCACAGATGCTGTTGCCCCTCCTACTGCTGCTGCTTCCTTGTTGGCTGCAGGGCAGAGAGCTCCCACTGTTTCTGTGAGAGGTAATCAGTGGAAGCTATTACAAGCTCATTTCTCTCCTAATTGGTAACTCCATGACGAAGAACTGTCCCAGCAAGACTGCTGTGAGAGTCACTTCTGAGCCCCAGGGAGCAGCAGATGACAAACTCTGGCCTGGTGGCATGAGATTGCTCCTAAGAAGAGTGATACCAAGGTTTACTAAACCCCTTTCCAAATTCCTAATTTGGCTTAGATCTGTCATTCCTCAACACTGCTCCCTCTTTGGACCGTCAGCAGGTGGACAGTTCCTCAGACGCGCTGAGGTTGTGACAGTACCCATAGTCGTCATTGCTATGTAATGCTATCACCATTATTAGCAGCTAGCTGTCTTCCAGCCATCTTCATTCTAAACTGAAGCTGAAACATTAACAAGTGCTTCTTTTGTTTCCCTTTCTACCCTGTCCAATCAGTCAGGAGTCTTTCAAGAACTCCTGCTGCTTCAGCCTTGAAACCTAAACAGAATACACTGTATTGAACAGGGATGGAGAGAATGTATGTCTTTTTCTTATCACTGATTTTAGTGAAAAGAGTCTGGGGTTTTCTCTGGTTAACATGATGTTGGTTGTGGTATTGCTGTATGTTACCTTTAATGTGTTGAGATATGTCCTGCATATTCCTAGATTCTCCAGCACTTTTATCACGAAGGGGTGCTGGATTTTGTGCATCAAATGAGATGGTCGTGTGGATTTTATCCTTAAGTCTGTTTCTGAGTTCAATTGCATTTACTGCTTTATGTTTGTTGAATTACCTCTGGGATGAAGCTGAGTTGATTGTGGATACCTTTCTAATGTGTTCTTGGGTTTGGTTTGCATATATTTTATTGAGAAGTTGTACATCTATGTTCATGAGAGATTGACTTATTATTTTATTTTTGTTGATGTTGAATCTTTGTCTAGTTTTGATAGTAGTGTACTTCTGACTTCACAAAAAAATTTAAAGCAAAATAAAATCTCAAAAGATCTTTTCTATTTTATAGACTAATTTGAGGAGAATTGACATTAGTTGTTCTTGTAGAATTTTATACTTGTACCCATAGGGTCCTGCGCTTTTTGTAATTAAGAGATCTTTAATATCTGTTCCTATTTCACCGGATGTTCTGGGTATATTTAAATTATTTACCCATTTTGATTTCATTTTCATAGGTTATATATAGCTAGAAATAAAGCCATTTATTTTAGAAGTTTAAGTTTAATAGAAATAGATTGTTAACATATCCTTATAAACCTCCAAATATCCTCAGTGTCTGTTTTAAGCCTTCCATTTTGATCTCTGATCTTATTGAGTCTTCTCTTTTTGTGGTTAATTTGGCTAATTATTTGTCAATCTTTCTAGTCTTTCTAAAGAGGCAACTCTTCATTTTGATTTTATTGTTTTGACTTTCTCATTTTTATTTCATTGATTTCAGCTCTGATCTTGATTATTTCCTTTCATCTATTGTCTAGGGGGGGTTGGTTGTTCTTGTTGTATCAAAGTCTTCAGGTGTATCTTTAGGTATCACTATGAGAACTCGAGTTGTTTTTTTTATGCAGACACACAGTTCTAGAAACTGGCCTCTTAGGAATACTTTTATTGTGTCTCATTGAGTTTAGCATGTTGCATTTTCATTTTCATTCACTTTTATGAATTTAAGTTTTCCCGTATAATTGCTTTCTGACACACTTCTCAGCATTTTGTTGTTTAGTTTTCATGAGTTTGTCTGCTCGTTGTCATTTCTATTGCTGATAGCCAGCTTTATTCTTTTGAGGAAAGACAGAATGCAGAATGTTACTTCAAATGTTCTAAAATTAAGACTGGATATATTTCCGGATACATGGTTGATTTTGGAGAAAATTCCATCAACTCCTGAGAAAACATAAATTCTTTAGCTTTTTTTTGTGAAATATTCTACCAATGCCTATTAGATTCATTTAATTTGTGATGTAATTTAACCCTAAAGTTTTATTTTGTTTTTGTTTTGTCTCAATGATTCAGGTGAGGATAGGGTCTTGAAGTCATTCAGTTATCAGCTGTGTTGATTTCATTGGTGGTTTTAGATCTAATAATCTTTCTTTTAGAGAATTAGGTGCTCCTGTGTTAGGTGCCTAAATGCTTAGAACTGTAACATCCTCTTAATGGGTTTTTCCTTTGTTGATTATGAAATATCCTTTCATAACTCTTCTGATGAATTTGGGGTGAAAATCTATTTTGTCAGATATTAGATTATACCTGTTTCCTTATTCCATTTGATTGGAATTCTTTTTAAAAATCCCTTTTCTGCCTGAAGTTGTCCCGCCCCGAGGGACCTAGTTATTCGTGGGGGCGAAGGGGGTCAATCCTGAAAAAGATGGGGGAGAGAGAGAAAGGACACAAGCAGACAGTTGCCGGTCAAGTGTCAGCTTTATTGAACTTTGGTGTTTCTTTTAAAACGTGGTTCTGGCAGGGCAGGGGAGAGGGGCAAGAAAGGGAAGTAGTAGTGGAAAAATACCAAGGCCCTTGGTGGGAAGTTCCCAAGGCTAAGAAGGTGGGTTAAAGAGTTACAAGGCCCGAAGATAACATCGGTGGTCACGGATGTGCCCTAAAGCAAACAGTTTCGGGAACAATGGGTCTTAAGAAACTATGGCCTGCTGGTGTCCGGTGCTTATCTGGCAGGTCAGGCCCTTAGGAAGGGTCCCAGGACTTTGTTCCCAACATCTCCTCCCTTTTTACTCTTTAAAATGAGGGGACCCTTTAGGATTCTCAATGAGCATAAAAAAGGCATTTTGGAAGAGCCAATTTGTATAGCCTACTCGGGGTTATCCACACAAGCAAGTTTTGGAGGCCGCGTTCCCCAAAGCAGGACGTCACCACCATTGTCGACAGTCTATGCCACTTCTGGTGCAATGGGACAAAACCCTCAGAGTGCTAGGGCCATAGACAGCGCATATCAACAAGTATGGCGGGCATAAGTCCTCATTATGATTAGGGGCACAAATGGGGTCTGAGCCTGGTGGAAGGCAATGCTTGGCCGTTACCCGTCATTGGAGCAACCTCCTCTTATTGCGAGGCTGTCCTGTCTTAGGTGGGCGAAGACTGACTTGCACACAACCGTCACTGACTTACCAGACCGCGCAGTTTGTGAAACCGTAATGCATTAACTCTCCTCAGGAAGAATGAGGGCCAACCCCGAGTTAAGAGCTACAAGACATTTGTTAAATATGTTTGAATTCATTTTAACAAAATTGGTCAGCCAATTGTGAGAATCGTAAAGGTCCAGATCTAGCTGGGAGAGCGGCCCCAGAACTTCCATATTGGGCCAGGGGATATTAGGGTGGAGAAGTCAAGGGGTCGGGAAGCTGGGGCATCAGGTGGAAGCTCTATGGCAGATTTTTCTTCCCCAGCCAGGTGATGGTAGTGGACTCCAACGGGCTTGATTTCGGAGCTTACCTGGTTCTTAACAAAGTTTGAGAGATGATTAAAGGCCCAAGGGCCAAAAGAGAGAAGCAAAAGGATACCTACAAAAGGTCCTAGAAGACTGGGAAGCAGAGTGGTTAGCCATGGGGATGTGGAAAACCAATTTTGATACCAGGACTCTTGTATCTTTCTGTTCCATTTTCGTTCCTCCAAACTGAA